GAGTTAGGGTTGGTCTTAACATGAGCTAATATGAATGGGAAAATAGGGAAGAACCGTTGGTGGATCTCTTCTTCAGCCTAACCCTGAGTTTAATTAGCAGTTTAATTTCAGAATTAAGGCATAATTAATTAGTTAGTCATATTTGTTCAGTTTATTTTCTATTAAAACTATAAGTATTTTCAAAATGGTTTATGTTAAATATTATTGTCTATGTTCTATAAAGTTTAAATGTGTGTTTGTTTGTGTGTTTGTTTTCTCCCTGAGTGTTACTTCTGAGTTCGAGCTGCTGTTGTGGTTCCATCTCTTATTTGTTATCCTTTATCTTTATTTTATTTGTCTGTTTTTTATCTTTTTAGAATTATAATCCAAATCCCCCCATATCTTTAGTTTTAGTTTTTAGATTTTAGTTAGTTTTTATTCAATAAAAGTGAGAAAGTAAACTGATTTTCATAGCCTAAAAAGTATCTTTCCTCGTGGGATCGACCCTTACTTGCCCTATCTATATGTTTTAATCAATATTAATTCATAAAGAGGGATTCGAGTTAAGGAAAATAATAAATTAATTTGTAGGTGCTACGACACGCCTAACAAAAACTTATGCCAACAAAGATCTCGTGAGGAAAATCCTACGGAGTCTCACACCCGAATGGAGATCAAAGGCCGACGCAATCTACGAATCCATCGGAGTCTCCAACGTCGCCATCGACGGGTTAAGAGGTAACCTCAAAACTTATGAATCCACTATTCTATCCCCGTCTTTGGATGAACAAAAGAATAAAGGAATAGCGCTCAAAGCAACCAAAAAGACGGCGGAAGAAGTCTCAAGCGATGATGACAACGAGTTTGGACTCGTCATCAAGAAATTCCACAAATTCATGAAGAAGGAATTTGAGCGCAAAGGAAGAAAGCACAACGGTCCCCCGAAGTCCTATGGTTGTGGCGAGATAGGCCACATCAAGCTGAGGTGTCCAAAAGGCAAAAACGGCAAGGACGAACCCGGCTTCAAAAAGCAAAGAGCCTATATCTCATGGGGTGGCAACTCCGGCGATGAGGTAACCGACCAAGAAGAGGATGAAGCCGCCAACCTCTGTCTCATGGAACACGAAGACCAAACCGACGATATACAAGAGGTATGTACCACTTCTTCCAACTCTTACATTTTTGAAGAGATGCAAGAAGCACTTCGTGAGCTTTACGATGAATTTGTTAGCGCTTCTAAAACTAACAAATCACTAAAGAAACATCTTTCAACTCTTGAAAATGATTTTGAAACACTAGAAAAAGATAATGAAAAGTTAAAACAAGAAAATAAATTTTATAGAAAAAGAAGCGCTGACAAACCGGAAAGCTCTTCAAGTGAATGTGAATCTTGCAAAGCTTTAAAAGAAAAAGTTACAAAACTTGAGAGTACGAATAAGAAATTCAATACTCCACACAAAAATCTTAACTTACTCCTTGACACTATGCATTTTTTAAGGAAGGATTAGGTTTTGATAAAAACGAATCTAAGGATAAAAACGTTGAGCAAACACCTAGAAAACCTCCTAACGCTCAACGTAAGAAAATTAAAAATCAGCATAATAGTGTTAGAATAATAGACCAACGCTAGAGAGGGGGGGGGGGTGAATAGCGTTTGATTGTAGAAATCGCAGGAATTAAAAATTCAAAAGAGAAGTAAGGAGAAGAGTAAGAGGCACACCGAATTTTACCCTGGTTCACCACAACTTGTGGCTAGTCCAGCCTCCCGAGGGACTCTCTCGAGCTACACAACTATCTCGTTAAGCTTAACGGTGCTTAACAAACCCTTACAACTTGAGAATTCGAGTCACACAAACCTCAACGAGTCCTTCAAAGGAAACAACCTTTCCTTTGAATCAAACGAGAGAAATACTTTCTCTCTACGTGTCTAAGAACACAAATACACTCAAGAACGAGACTCTCTTTTAGAGTAGATATTGAGTAAACTAAGTACGCTCAAGAACAACTCAAACTTCACACGAATTGGCTCTAAAAAGCTATGGAAAAGAATGTTGTTTGAATGCAATGAAAGTATGAGAATTTTGAAGTGAATTGATGAGAAAAGTAGACCCAAACACCCCTTTTTATAGTGCCAAAATAGGCTCCAACGGACCAATACATTAAAGGGGTGATTGGCTTGATTTATGGGATTGAATAAATTGTGGATCTACAGGATATTGGCTTCCCAGTGATGTATGGTTTCTACCCATCGCTGGTAGGCCAATTTTCCTTCAGTTTTGAAGCCAACGGTCACCTACCCATCGATGGGTACAAGCTTCTCATCGCTGGGTGGGAGGTTGACTTCCAAACAAGGAAAGAATGAACCTTAAATGACTTCCAACGGTCATGCCTTCCCAGCGATGGTTAAGCCTTCCCATCGCTGGGTTCCCATCGATGGGGTAAAGTCCCCATCGCTGGGTAAGGTCGTTCTGCCTTGTGTTGATGTTGGACCAAGGCTGTAACAGCGATGGGTAAAACTTCCCATCACTGTTTGGCATGGTTCTGGAACTTGGTTGAAAAACATTTTTATGATCTAAGAAATGCAATGAAAAGATTTTAGCCTAAAGAGCCAAGGTGTAAAGATTGGGTCGGTCTTGATCACAATAAGGACCGACTCAACGATACTAAGACTATGGTCTTCGTTTAGCTCTTGTTCTTATCTTCGTTTTTCGCCTTGTATATTCAATTTGTGTATTGATCATGGCGGTTTGGCATTATCAAAACCTGTCACAAAAATGAACACGGCTTTAGTACGAAAACGTGACAAACCCGTGTTTCAACAATTTCTCCCTTTTTGATAATGGCAAACAAGAGGAGGTTATGTGTAGGAGGATTATTTTAAGACCAAACAAAATGTTCCCCCTTAATAAATGCAATTTTATTTTCAATAAAGTATTTGTGATGAAAAAAAATTCCCCCTCACATTATGCATAACCTTTTTATTTTCCCGCTTTTGACATTAACAAAAAGAATAAAAAGTAAACTTTTATTCATTAAAGAGAAGGGAAATGCGGAATACAACGGAATGGGAATTAAAAAAATACAATCGTATTTAAAAAAAGAAAGAAGGGAAGAGTCTTGGCATCGGCGTCCTCGTCCTCGTCGTCCATGGGATCGCCGTCGACTGTGTCCTCAAAGTCGGCCTCGTCGGGAGAGGTGGACGGAGTTTGATAAGGCGTTTAAAATATTTTCGGAGTTTGATAAAAACGGTGTTGGAAAATGCGGAAGCAATATATAAAACGCAGAAATAAAAGCGTAAATAAAATGCACACCGATTTTGTACTGGTTCGGAAAACCCCTACTCCAGTACCTCGAAACTCCTCCTCAAGGATTTCCGAATCCACTAAGTCCCGGCCTCTTGAACTCCGTCAAAGCACCGCACTAGTTTTGGCAAACAACCCTTGCCAATAGGACTCACTCCGAGATTTCACAACGGCTATCTCGAACCGTTTACAATGAAGATTTAACAGCTATCTTCTACCGTTCCGCCAAGGATTTCAAAGGCTAACCTTGAACCCTTTACCCAAGGATTTATACTGCTATCCTCGAGCGATACAATATGAGAATTTAACGGCTATTCTCGACCGTATAAAGATGTGTTTGAAAAACACAAACAAGAGTTCTACACAACAGCTTGAATATAAAAATGAAGAACAAAACTTAGCCGATGTAGAAGGAAATTATACTCTCTCAAAAATACAATATAAACTTATGAATATGAGAGTATATAACTAGAAACACAAGCTCAAAGTGTGTGTATAACAATTAGGAATTTAAGGCTCTTAAAACAGCCAAAATATTTAAAATAATTAATAAAAGGATGAACACACTTAGAATAAAAAGAGAGGATGTTTAGAGCTTTGTTTCTTTTTGAAATATGAAGTATTAGGCCTATATTTATAGTGGAAGATGTTAATTAGCCGTTAGGAGGTGATTAGAGTTGAATTAATTCAAAAATCAGTAATCAGGAATAGTGTTCCAACGGTAACGGTACCCTGTCACGGTAGCTAGGTTTTCTTCTCAGGCCAAAACTCTCTGGCGGTACCTATACACGGTAGGGGGGTCCCGTCCATACGGTAGGGGGGTCCCGTCCATACGGTAGTTAGGTACCTTCTGAGGCCAAAACTCTCTAGCGGTACCTATCTTAGTACGGTACCCCTTACGGTAGGGGGGTCCCGTCCAGACGGTAGGGGGATCCCGTGCAGACGGTAGGGGGGTCCCGTGCTACAGTCCTGCGTTTTTCAAAATATCCTTAATCCTTCGTGTTTGAGTTTAAAACCTTTTAGATATTTGAAAATGTTTATAAGATAGTTCTAAACATATTTTTTGAGTACTTTTGAGCTTGTGAATATAGGTATATAAAGTCATATCCTTACATTGGTTTCTACCTATATTCTACGCTAGTTTAGTGTTTCGACTTCATTCTTGAGTACCGAATCTTAATGGATTCTTGTTTTACCTGAAACACTTAAACAAACGTTAAGCTCTTATATTGTTTGTTAACATCAAAACATGAGGCTTAGCAAACCAAGGCTAACAATCTCCCCCTTTTTGATGTTGACGAACAATATACTTCAAAGTGAGTTAGGCGGGTGTAAAATATTGAAGCAAGCAAGCTCCCCCTAAGAACAAGAATATTGAAAATACTCACTTTGAACTTTTTCTTGTGTTTATTAAAAGTTTATGTTTACACAAGAATGCACTCAAGTCAAGTTGCATATGCACGACTTTGAAGTATACATCTTCTCCCCCTTTTGTCAAAATCAAAAAGGATATTTTGAAAATTTTAGCCATGTATAACTTCTTGAAACCCTCCCCCTATCAAAATGAATTTTTAGGAAAAATGATAGTTTTCAGATCATTGGGCAAAAGGTGCATTTACAACGAAACTTCAACTAAAAATGAAAACTCCCCCTAAAACGATACAAGTTTAAAAATTTATTTTTCAGGGATTTTTGGGGATTAAAAAGGCATGATTTAAAGATGATTTTTTTAAAAAAAAAAATTTAATCATGCAAACCAAGGCTAAAGCAAATTATGGGATAAGTTTTTATTTTTGAAAAATATTGAAAGCAACAAAAAAATTCTTATCCCAATAAGTAAAAAAAAACTTACCTTGGCTTATGTCGTTCTTTCTTCGACTTGGAATATACTTCTTTCTCTTTTGATTTTCTCCGTCTTGAGTCTTCAAAAAATTTCCATTGGAGAAAACTCTTGTATTTCTTCCTCATTACTCTTTCTTTGTCTTCTTCATCACTTGACGAATTAGAGTCATCGGATGTTTCATCCATTTCACTTGACTCATCATTTGAGTCACTTGAGTCATCACTAGAGTCCTCCTTGGATGCCTTGAACGCATTGGTTTGTTTTGGATCTTCTGTCAAATATTCTTCTTTCATCTTAATCATCAAAAGCTCGTGAGAATACAAAGAAGACCAAATGTTGGCGGCGCTTTCCGTTGCACATTTGGGTAAAAGATCTACAATACTACTATGCCATTCTTTTTGCAAAGAAAGTAAAACTTTAGTATTTAGTTCACTTGTAGAATATTCCTTACCCAACTTACCCATCTTGTTGACTATTTCGTTGAACCTTCTATTTGCATCTTGGATTGACTCATGTTGGCCAACTTTGAAACTGTAACACCCCAAAAATAGGCCTATCAGAGTTAATTAATTTATAATTAATTAATTACTGAGAAGGACCCAAAAATAAGTAAATTCTAAAGTTTGTCAATAAATAATAAAAATCATATCATTATGTAGAGTTTGACTGTCTGACCCCAACGGTTCAATCGGATTTCAATTTGGAGAATGTTGGACCAAAAAGTGTACCCCGACTGGAACCAAAATTGGTCCCAATCAGGGACTTGCGTTATCGGCCGTCTGCTCCACTGAGACGCCAAAACAGGAGAACAACATGTCATCCCATGTCTTCTTCCCCTTTCCTTCTTCAATATAATGGAAACAAAAACTTCACCATTTCTTCACCATTCTTCATCAAATTCGTTCTGGGAGATAGCCTTGAGTGTGGAGAACGCAGTGGTGCTGTCAATTTGGTGTAAGGTCGCCGGAGTTGAGTGCTATCGTCGCCGGAAGATTCGCCGGAAAATTCTCAAAACCTCCATTAATCTTCGAGGTAAGCCCGTAGATATATCTAAAGATTAGAATGTTCATATAGGTTGTTTTTACGTTCATAAATGGTCATTTGGTTGAGTTTTGTGTTTGACATGTTTGAAGAACCAAGAATCATAAATCTTGAATTTGATGTTAAAAATATGTTTTAATGATTCTAAAATGATCTATGAACCTTGGAGAACATTTCTATATAGTTTAATTGAAGTTTGGTAACTAAAATTGATATGTCCGAAAATGGACCGAAGGTAGAAGACGATGAACAGTGATCGAAAATCGATTATTTTCTTCCTAAAAATCGATTAAAACTTGATCAGATAACGTGTATCAAAATAAAAAAAACAATCGATTATATTAAGGTATAAAATCGATTTTTGGTATTTAATCGATTAAAATATATATTAAAATCGATTTTACAAATTTAATCGATTAAAATATGTTGAAAAATCGATTTTACAAAATTAATCCATTAAAATATGTTGAAAAATCGATTTTACAAATTTAATAGATTAATATATATTCAAAAATCGATTTTTATATTAATTTATTGAATAAATCAATTTTTCCTCAATTCCAGTGTCCCGAAAATATTCTTGGAAGTATTCTTTGAAAATACTAATTAATTATGAATAATTTAAATATGATTTTGTATAATAAATGATGTTTTTGGCTCATAAAACATTATGTGATGCATGACGATAAGTTCGGGTGTTAACACCCGAGACTAAGCCGCTGTTTGCTATTAAATATTATGTTGAATGATCATTATGATGAATAATTATTATGGATAAATATGAATGATAAACCTACTGATTAAAATGATTATTGATGATTAAGTCATGATTAAAAATGAATTAATGGTGATTATGAAAACAGTGTATATTGTTAAGGATAGCTAGAAGAACTCTAGCATATACCCACTTGTATATTGATGATGATTATTAAGGATATCTAGAAGAACTCTAAGATATACCTACCTGACCAATTCATATTTCGGGTTAAAACGTACGTACGGGATCCAGACCGGATATCACCCACCCGATAAATCATTGTTCGGTTGGTACGTAATCCACATGACTCATAGGGTGGATTATCGATTCTTGTGTTCTGATTAAACTATTTATAGTTTTAGGGCCTGGTTAGAAATATTGCCTTAGACTAGGAATAGCTAAGAGCTTGTTATAAAATGATTTGGCCTTAGATTAAGAATAATTTAAGAGCATGATTGAGATATTGAATATCAAATGACTTGAAATAAAATATTGAGAATATCATGAATGTTTGAATCATATATTGTGTGCATGATATCAAATGGTTGATTATGAATTTAGATTCAATTTATTTGGATGTTCGATGCTTTAGATATGCTTACTCAGCTTCATCGCTGAGCGTGTAGTATGTTTTATTTGCTACACGTAGGTAGACAGAATGAGTGAATGTCATGTTCTTGGCAGCAGAAGGGCGAGACAGTCGTGGTGGATCATTGAACAAAATAAATAATTATGTTGTTATGAAACATGTTTAAAAGTCGCTTCCGCATTATTATTAAACACTCCGCATTTTCTACAAATTATGTATGGAATATTATTTATGAATAAAAATGTTTGAAATGTTTTAAATTATCACGATTACCAAATCAATACTTTAGTCCGAAAGGGGCTGCAGACCTGGACGGATTAGGGTGTTACAATTTGGTATCAGAGCAAATGGTTTTAAACCCGATCTTCGGATCAAAACTTGGATAAAAAAAAATATATTTTACATATTATATATGTATTTCGGCCACAAAAAAAATGATGTCAATCAAATCCACGACTCTCGCATCCCTCTGCTCCAAGAAGGTAATAAAAAAAATGAGTATTGAAATTGACTGTATCAAATTTTATAGATGTCAACTGTTAATTCGGAAATGATATCAAGTGTTGATTCAAGTCGCACTTTCGTACTTGGTAAAAGACGAAAGAACAAACAAAATGTCTATGACTCGTTGATACGTTACCAACGTGCACATCGATTCGCAAGAATAATGAAACGAAGAATTTATCTACGCCGCAAGGTTGCATGGGAACGAGATGACCCAGAAGAGACGTTCAGCGTAGACTCTGCCAGTAGTGTATGTGGGTCGGGCAAGGAAGACCCGTCTGTAGATTCGGCACGATCCAACCAATCGAACGCAAACGCTTAGAAAATTATCTTATTGTTGGTTTCAAATCCATTGATTGTATCAACTGTTGTAACCCTTTGCAATTCCTGTCTTAAACTCAACTACTGAATAAAAGAATCCTAATAAAGGAATTTCTGTTATTGTAGAATGAGTCAAGATTCCGCCCACGGACAAGGCAACAATGAACACGTCAGCGTTCATACTGAAATATCTAGTTTTACCCCTCCCGTCCAAAATGAACCCGTCAATCAACAAAATGTTGGGAATAACCCAAACGCTGGTGGTCAACCTGACCTTGTGATTCCAGCTTTTCTAGCTAATGTGTTGCAACAAATAGCCAACGCACCAATGTTTCAAATCATTGTTCGGTTTGTACGTAATCCACATGACTCATAGGGTGGATTATCGATTCTTGTGTTCTGCATTAAACTATTTATAGTTTAAGGGCCTGGTTAGAAATATTGCCTTAGACTAGGAATAGCTAAGAGCTTGTTATAAAATGATTTGGCCTTAGATTAAGAATAATTTAAGAGCATGATTGAGATATTGAATATCAAATGACTTGAAATAAAATATTGAGAATATCATGAATGTTTGAATCATATATTGTGTGCATGATATCAAATGGTTGATTATGAATTGAGATTCAATTTATTTGGATGTTCGATGCTTTAGATATGCTTACTCAGCTTCATCGCTGAGCGTGTAGTATGTTTTATTTGCTACACGCAGGTAGCAGAATGAGTGAATGGCATGTTCTTGGCAGCAGAAGGGCGAGACAGTCGTGGTGGATCATTGAACAAAATAAATAATTATGTTGTTATGAAACATGTTTAAAAGTCGCTTCCACACTTTCGTACTTGGTAAAAGACGAAAGAACAAACGAAATGTCTATGACTCGTTGATACGTTACCAACGTGCACATCGATTCGCAACAATAATGAAACGAAGAACAGACACAACAAGTGGATCTTTGTCGTAGATGCGGTTAAGCACTTTCAACTACGAAACCACTCTAATACCAATTGTTAGTCGGTTTAGACGTTGTGCCCACGCCTTAGAGGGGGGGTCAATAAGGCGTTTAAAATATTTTCAGAGTTTGATAAAAACCGTGTTGGCAAATGCGGAAGCAATATATAAAATGTAGAAATAAAAGCATAAATAAAATGTGCACCGATTTTATACTGGTTCGGGAAACCCCTACTCCAGTACCTCGAGGCTCCTCCTCAAGGATTTCTGAATCCACTAAGTCCTGGCCTCTTGAACTCTGTCAAAGCACCGCACTAGTTTTGGCAAACAACCCTTGCCAATAGGATTCACTCCGAGATTTCACAACGGCTATCTCGAACCGTTTACAATGAAGATTTAACAGCTATCTTCTACCGTTCCCCCAAGGATTTCAAAGGCTAACCTTGAACCCTTTACCCAAGGATTTATACTGCTATCCTCGAGCGATACAATATGAGAATTTAACGGCTATTCTCGACCGTATAAAGATGTGTTTGAAAAACACAAATAAGAGTTCTACACAACGGCTTGAATATAAAAATGAAGAACAAAACTTAGCCGATGTAGAAGGAAATTATACTCTCTCAAAAATACAATATAAACTTATGAATATGAGAGTATATAACTAGAAACACAAGCTCAAAGTGTGTGTATAACAATTAGGAATTTAAGGCTCTTAAAATAGCCAAAATATTTAAAATAATTAATAAAAGGATGAACACACTTAGAATAAAAAGAGAGGATGTTTAGAGCTTTGTTTCTTTTTGAAATATGAAGTATTAGGCCTATATTTATAGTGGAAGATGTTAATTAGCCCTTAGGAGGTGATTAGAGTTGAATTAATTCAAAAATCAGTAATCAGGAATAGTGTTCCAACGGTAATGGTACCCTGTCACGGTAGCTAGATCCCGTACGGTAGCTAGGTTTTCTTCTCAGGCCAAACTCTCTGGCGGTACCTATACACGGTACCTATAGGGCTGGGTTGGGAAAACCGAAAACCTCAAACCGAACCGAAATTGATCGAAACGAGCTAGAAAAAAAACCGAACCGAAAAAACCGAAACCGAATGTAAAAAAACCAAACCGAACCGTTAGTGTTTGGTTTCGTTTTGGTTTTCACTTTTAAAAACCGAACCGAACCGAATAAACCGAACTTTCTTAGATACTTCGCTTTATTTATATGAATATATGTGATATGTAAAAAAATTATAGAAATATAAACGCAAATAAATTACTAGTCGATTAAAATTATTTTCTTAACTATTAATTAAACATTCTAGCCACATTATTATAAACTTTGAAAAAACCTAAGAATATAAACACCAATAGCTAATCCTAAAATAAAATTATATTAACATTAAAAATTGATACGAGTAATTTACATATTTACATAACAAATACTTTGATGTTATAATGAAAATGAAAGTATTATACCAAAAAACCTAAATTCTTCGTAATTGATTTTACATACGATTTCTTTGGAAGTATTTGGAATCTTCTAAATGTTTGTTGGGCACTCAACACATATTTTTTATGTAAAATTGAACCGAAAGGAACAATGACCTTCCGTTTGGTTTTTGTTTNATCCTAAAATAGAATTATATTAACATTAAAAATTGATACGAGTAATTTACATATTTACATAACAAATACTTTGATGTTATAATGAAAATGAAAGTATTATACCAAAAAACCTAAATTCTTCGTAATTGATTTTACATACGATTTCTTTGGAAGTATTTGGAATCTTCTAAATGTTTGTTGGGCACTCAACACATATTTTTTATGTAAAATTGAACCGAAAGTAACAATGACCTTCCGTTTGGTTTTTGTTTTTTGTGTAAAAATCAAACAAAAAAACCAAAGCTAACACTACATATTGTTATTGTTTCATCGAGTTAGTATTTTTACTATTTTTTAATGCTTATAAATTTCTACTTTTATAAACTGAAAAAACCGAAAAAACCCGAAATAAAAAGCGTATAAAACCGAACCGAATAACCAACGGTTTACATATTTTTTATGCAAAACCGAACCGAACCGAACCGCCAATTTACCTTCCGTTTTGTCTTTGGTTTTGGGTGAAAACCGAACCCACCCCTAGGTACCTTTACACGGTAGGGAGGTCCCATCCATATGGTATGGGGGTCCCGTCCATACGGTAGTTAGGTACCTTCTCAGGCCAAAACTCTGTGCCGGTACCTATCTTAGTACGGTACCCCTTACGGTAGGGGGGTCCCGTCCAGACGGTAGGGGGTCCCGTGCAGACGGTAGGGGGTCCCGTGCTACAGTCCTGCATTTTTCAAAATATCCTTAATCCTTCGTGTTTGAGTTTAAAACCTTTTAGATACTTGAAGATGTTTATAAGATAGTTTTAAACATATTTTTTGAGTACTTTTGAGCTTGTGAATATAGGTATATAAAGTCATATCCTTACATTGGTTTCTACCTATATTCTACGCTAGTTTAGTGTTTCGACTTCATTCTTGAGTACCGAATCTTAATGGATTCTTGTTTTACCTGAAACACTTAAACAAATGTTAAGCTCTTATATTGTTTGTTAACATCAAAACATGAGGCTTAGCAAACCAAGGCTAACATAGGAGTCATCGTCCTCATCCTTGCCCTCGAAGTTTTGGCCGAGGATGGTGTTGTCAAAGGGCGGCGGGACGTAGTTGATGTCGCGGAAGAACGCCGTCATGTCGTGGTGTTGACGTTGCAGCGTCCAATCCATCCGCTCCATGTACTGCCCCATGTCGTCCACCGTGAGGGTCAGCCGATTTAGGGTGTCGGCTATGGACTACAACGAGGCCCGGGCGGGAGCGGGGGCAGGGGCACGGGCACGACTCGGTCCGGCGCCGTCGTGGTCTCCGGACTTCTTCTTGAAGGTGGTGTCGGCGATGACCCACAGCTTCATCATCTTCGTGCTTGGCCCGGCGATGTGGATGTCGGCGGAGACGATGAGGTCCATGACGAGGAAGGCGTATGGCAAGCTCCGCTCGGTGGAGATGGAGGCGCAATCCGCCATGTGAATCATGATGAATTTCCCCTTGCTGATGGAGGCACCGTGCATGATGGCATGAATCGCCTTCAAGTCCTCGTTGAAGAGCGAGGTGTGGCTGCTGTCCCGGGGGCGAAGAATCCGGGTGATGATGTAGAGAAGGAAGCGCTTGTCCGGTGGGGCCGAGTGGATGGTCGGCGCGCCGCTGTGGCAGATCAAGTTGGTGATCCCAAGCTTGCAAATGAGGACCGCCTCGTTGTTGAGAATCCAATCGTCGCCACCGTACGTCGCAATGTCGTCACCGCGGATGGGCAGCCCTGCGATCCGTGCAAATGTCGGCAAGTCAATCTCTATGTCGTAGAGATTAATGCTGCTGTAGATGGTGTCCCCGTCAAGGCGCAGATTTGAGTAGAAGGCCCTGACATAGGTGGGATTGTAGGAGGTGCGGCTCTTGGAGACGAAGGGCCACAAACCCGACTCTTTGAGTTGATTGTCGAAGTCGTGGTACCCTTTGTCGTGGGGATACAGCTCCGGTAGCACGCAAGGCGTAGAGATCGGGCGTTTGGCAAAGTGATTGAGGAAGCGCGTGAGTTCTTCCTCCGATCCGAACTCAAGAAAGGATCCGTCGAGGTACGGAAAGGGCTGAGGCGCTGCAGACGTTGCCTCGGCCGGACCTTTCTTCTTGGAAGCTTTGCTTTTGGACTTTCCTCCAGCCATGATTGAAATGTTTATGAAGAAAGAGAATGGATGAATGAAGTAGAATAGACTCAAGAAAAGCAATTTGTGATGAAAAAAGTGTGTTATAATGGCCAAGGATGAAGAGAATATATAGGGAGAAGAGACAATTTCGTTTGAATTTTCAAAAAAATGTCTGTTGGGCCATTAATGGTGGTTCCAACGGTTCTGAAAATTTGAACTGCAACCGCCTTCCAAGCGATGGTAGGATCTACCCATTGATGGGAAGGTCGCTACTGGAAAGCGAGAAAAAGGAACGGGTTGCCTTCCCAGCGATGGGAGGAAGTACTCATCGATGGGTGGGGAGGTTCTGGAAAATAATTTTTAAAACACAAGTTATTCACCCAGTGATGGGATAAAATACCCATCGGTGGGTAAAGGGTTTCTAGAAATCCGTTAAAAAAATTTTAAAAAAATAGAGTCAATTACCCATCAATAGGAAGAGGGGTTCTGAAAAAAAAAAAAGAGAACTTCCCTCCCAGCGATGGTATAACCCACCCATCGCTGGTTCCCCCTGACTTCCGGATTCCTTCACCTCGAACCGTCCCTGCAAAAAAGAGTTAGAAAACCCTCCGACGCTGAAGTTAGTAAACGTTCATGCAAAGATAAAAGAGTGATAAAATGCACAAATTAGATCATCGTGGAGTCAAGGATTCCGAGTTCACTACGAATGCGGAAGAACAACTCTTTCTCTCAAGGTTTTGTGAAAATGTCGGCTAATTGGTTGTGTGTTTCAACAAACTCAATTTCGACATCACCTTTGAGAACATCATCTCTAATGAAATGGTGCCTAATGTCAATGTGTTTCGTCCTTGAATGAAGAACGGGGTTCTTCGTCAAACTTATGGCGCTAGTATTATCACAACGAAGTGGAACGTGACAGATGCTGAGGCCATAGTCCACGAGTTGTTGCTTCATCCAAAGGATTTGAGCACAACAACTACCGGCGGCAACGTATTCTGCTTCGGTTGTGGATAACGCAACACTGACTTGTTTCTTACTAAACCATGAAACTAAAGAGCTACCAAGTAAGTGGCAAGTCCCACTCGTACTTTTACGGTCCATTTTGCAACCGGAAAAGTCCGAGTCGGAATAACCAACGAGATGACACGAAGAGCCTTTTAGATACCATAGTCCAACGTTAACCGTACCAACAAGGTATTTCATGATCCGTTTTACCGCTGTTAAGTGCGATTCCTTCGGACATGATTGATACCTTGCGCAAAGGCATACGCTAAAAATTATATCCGGCCTACTAGCGGTAAGATAGAGAAGGAATCCGATCATACCTTGATACTTTTTGACTTCTACTTCCTTACCTTTCTCGTCTTTGTCTAGATGGTCGGACGTGCTCATCGGGGTTGCCATGGCTTTGGCATTGTCCATTTCGAACCGTTTTAAGAGCTCCTTGCAATATTTGGTTTGGCAAATGAATGTGCCATCTTTCATTTTCTTGACTTGGAGTCCCAAAAAGAACGTGAGCTCACCCATCATTGACATTTCAAACTCGCTTGTCATTAACGTTGAGAATTCCTTGCACAAAGACTCGTTAGTAGCACCGAATATAATATCGTCTACATAAACTTGAACCAAAAGGATGTTATTGTTTTTACTCTTGATAAAAAGTGTAGTGTCAACCTTTCCCCTTTGGAAACCACTATTTAAAAGAAATTTACTCAAACGTTCGTACCAAGCACGGGGTGCTTGTTTAAGACCGTAGAGCAGTTTCTTGAGTTTGAAGACATGGTCGGGAAACTCGAAGTCTTCAAACCCCAGGGGCTGGTCAACATACACTTCCTCTTGAATAAAACCATTGAGGAAGGCACTCTTAACATCCATTTGATAGAGTTTAAAATCCATAGACGAAGCAAAAGCAAGAAGTAAACGAATAGCTTCTAAACGTGCTACGGGTGCATAAGTTTCTTCGAAATCAATGCCTTCTTCTTGATTGTAGCCCTTAGCTACGAGCCTAGCTTTGATTCTAGTGATTATTCCATTTTCATCAAGTTTGTTACGGAACACCCATTTCGTACCAATAATCGTACGATCATCAAGCCTTGGTACCAATTCCCAAATGTCATTCCGTTTGAATTCGTTTAGCTCCTCTTGCATAGCCAAGGTGCAATGTTTGTCGCTTATTGCTTCGGAAATGGTTGTAGGTTCAATTTGGGAAACAAAAGCCATGTGTCCTACGGTGTCCCTAAGTGAGTTACGAGTACTTACCCCGCGGTTGATGCTACCGATTACCTGGTCAAGCAGATGGTTCTTGTTCGTTCTCCATGCAATGGGAAGCTCGGTTTCTTCTTCTTTGTGTTCCTCTTGTTCTTCTTCTCCCTCTTGATTTTCTTCTTCACCTTGGTTAGTCTCTTGAGGCACTCCCCAATTTGTGGCTGCGTGTTGGTGTATATTCCCGTGTTCTCTTCATCGTCTTTGACGTGTATCCTCTCTAGTGAATGTGCAAGATCATCACAAATATCCTTTCTCGCCAAGCGAGGGTTATCTTCGGAAAATACAACGTGAGGGGACTCCTCAATAGTTAAGGTTCATTTGTTAAAGACTCTATAGGCCTTGCTATGAAGAGAATAACCCAAAAAAATTCCTTCATCTGACTTGGCATCAAATTTGCCCAAATTGTCTTTGCCGTTGTTATAAATAAAACATTTGCAACCAAAGACTCAAAGATGGGAAAGGTTTGGCTTCCTCCCTTTGTATAGTTCATAAGGCGTTCTCATGAGTATCGGTCGAATGACGGCTCGGTTTAATACGTAGCTTGCGGTACTCACGGCATCTGCCCAAAAATACTTACGGATTTTTGCGTCATTGATCATAGTTCTAGCCATCTCTTCGAGACAACTATTTTTACGTTCCACCACTCCCTTTTGTTGTGGTGTACGTGGGGCTGAGAAATTATGATCAATGCCGAGTTCGTCACACAAATATGAGAATAGATTTCGTTCGAACTCTCCCCCATGGTCGCTTCTTATGGCTACTATGGTTGTAAACGTGAAATGCCTCACTTTTGTGAGTTAGAAACAAGGTTAATGTAAACCTAGAGTAGTCATCGACAATCACAAATGCAAAGTAATTACCACCAAAACTTTTCGTTCTAGAAGGACCAAAGTGATCCATGTGCAAAAGTTGAAGCGGTCTAGGCGTTAAAACAACGTTCTTGGACTTAAACGAAGCCCGAACTTGCTTCCCATTTTGACATGCATCACATATGGTGTCTTTTTCAAACATAAGTTTTGGAATGCCAATTACTAAGTCTTGTGAAACCAATTTGTTCAAAAGGTTCATGTTCAAATGAGCTACCCTTCGGTGCCATAACCAAGTGTCTTCCTCTTTACTCATGAGGCACTTAGCAAAGCCGGAAGGAGATTTGTCTAAGTTAACCATATATATGTTATCGATTCTATCACCACATAGAATGACCTTATTGTCACTAAGGCGTTCTACCGTGCATGATTTTGAATCGAAGGTCACACGGTTTCCCTTGTCACATAATTGACTTATGCTCAAGAGATTGTGTTTAAGACCTTTAACTAGCAAGACATTATCTATAGAAGACTCTTCGGACTTACCTACCGAACCGATGCCGATAATTTTTCCCTTGCTATTATCTCTAAAGACTATGTTTCCTCATTTAGCGGGTTTGATTTATAGGAACTTGGATACATCTCCGGTCATGTGCTTGGAGCATCCGCTATCAAGGTACCAAAGTACACTTGATGCCTTCAAGCACACCTACAAAAATGATTTAATAAGATTTAGGTACCCAAGTCTTTTTGGGTTCTTGAGTGTTAGGTGCAAAGTGGTAGTGTGATTCATTTTGTGCCCAATGCCTATACCTAGTAAAGCAAACGGGAGCTATATGTCCTACCCTTTTGCAATAGTGACAAACTACGTTTGGGTTGTGCATCCTCCTAGGTTGATAATAGTTGCTAGGGGGCCTAACCATATTCATCCTATTTTGGGAAAATATTGGTTTTTGAAAATTCTCTCTTCTAGGTGTTCTAGTATTATTTTGTCTATTTGAAAATTTATTTTTATGCACAAATTCATTTTGATAGTTTTTCCTAGGTTGTCTGACATGCACATTTTCATTCTTAGGTTTTTGTCTAGGTTGTCTAGTGTCCTTAGGTTGACTAGATTTTCTATTATCCTGATTTTTACCTTTCTTATGTTGAGCCTTAGGAGGTTGTCTAGGTGTTTGCTCAATGTTTTTATCCTTAGATTCATTTTTATCAAAACCTATTCCTTGCTTAGAAAAATGCATAGTGTCAAGGAGTAAGTTAAGATCTTTGTGTGGTGTATTGAATTTCTTAACCGTACTCTCAAGTTTTGCAACCTTTTCTTTTAAAGCTTTGCAAGATTCACATTCGCTTGAAGAGCTTTCTGGTTTGTCAGCGCTTCTTTTTCCATAAAATTTATTTTCTTGTTTCAACTTTTCATTATCTTTTTGTAGTTTTTCAAAATCATTTTCAAGAGTTGAAAGACGTTTCTTCAATGATTTGTTGGTTTTAGAAGCGCTAACAAATTCATCATAAAGCTCTCGAAGTGCTTCTTGCATCTCTTCTTGGTCAGTTGACTCGTCGCCGGAGTCGCCACCCCATGAGATATAGGCACGTTGCTTTTTGAAGCCAGGTTTGTCCTTGCCGCTTTTGCCTTTTGGACACCTCGGCTTGATGTGGCCTATCTCGCCACAGCCATGTTGAAACACGGGCTTGTCACGTTTTCGTACTAAAGCCATGTTCATTTTTATGACAGATTTTGATAATGCCAAACCGCCGTGATCAAGACACAAAGTGAATATACAAGGCAAAGAACGAAGATAAGAACAAGAGCTAAACGAAGACCAAGAACGAAGACCATAGTCTTAGTATCGTTGAGTCGGCTCTTTAGGCTAAAATCTTTTCATTGCATCTCTTACATCATAAAAATGTCTTTCAAACATGTTTAAAACATTAAAAACACTTCGTGTTTGCCCAAACCAAAAACCAAGCCATCCGGCGTTCGGTTTTCGGAGTCCGAACCAACCAAGTGGTTTTCAACATTTTATGATTGGTTTTTACTACTTGGCATGTTTAAACAGTTCTCCAACAAAAACACCTTGAAAACCACCTTTCATTTTTGGTCATTTGGCAAAACCCACGTAAAACGGCATAAACTTAGCTAGCCGTGGTTTTTACCCAATTACGTGGTTTTTAAAGTGTCTCACTTGATTTCTTAGACAAATACATCAAATAAGTGTTTTAAACACTTGGTTTTTATTTTGGAGAACTTTGGATTTTTCGGTCGGTTTCTGCATCGGTTGGCTAGGCCATGGTTCAGGCAAAAACCATGGGTTTTTGACTAACCACCCACCTAGCGATGGGAAGAACTCCCCATCGATGCGTAAGCGGTCCTCTATCCCAACCAAGTTCCAGAACCATGCCAGACAGCGATGGGAAGTTCTACCCATCGCTGTTAAAGCCTTGGTCCAACATCAACACAAGGCAGAACGACCTTACCCAGCGATGGGGACTCTACCCCATCGATGGGAACCCAGCAATGTGAAGGCTAAACCATCGATGGGAAGGCATGACCGTTGGAAGTCATTTAAGTTTTATTCTTTCCTTGTTTGGAAGTCAACCTCCCACCCAGCGATGGGAAGCTTGTATCCATCGATGGGTAGGTGACCGTTGGTTTCAAAACTGAAGGAATATTGGCCTACCAGCGATGGGTAGAAACTATACATCGCAGGGACGCAAATATCTTGCAGATCCACAATTTATTCAATCCCATAAATTAAGCCAATGACTCCTTTAATGTATTGGTCCGTTGGAGCCTATTTTGGCACTATAAAAAGGGGTGTTTGGGTCTGCTTTTCTTATCAATTCACTTCACAATTTTCCTACTTTCATTGCATTCAAACAACATCTATTTCCATAGAGTTTTAGAGCCAATACGTGTAAAGTTTGAGTTGTTCTTGAGCGTACTTAGTTTACTTATTATCTACTCTATAAGAGAGTCTCGTTCTTGAGTGTATCTGTGTTCTTGAGGTTCGTGTGACTCGAACTCTCAAGTTGTAAGGGTTTGTTAAGCACCGTTAAGCTTAACGAGATAGTAGTGTAGCTCAAGAGAGTCTCTCGGGAGGCTGGATTAGCCACAAGTTGTGGTGAACCAGGGTAAATTTGATGTGCCTCTCACTCTTCTCTTTACTTCTCCTTTAAATTTTTTATTCCTACGATTTCTACGATCAAATGCTATTCACCCCCCTCTAGCGTTGGTCTTTTATTCTAACAATTGGTATCGGAGCCTAACTCGCGTCCAAACTTAACCGTTTGAGAGAAAAGCGATCATGGGTTCTTCTTCTAGAAATCTTTACGCAGGGATCGGAGAAGGTCAATCAACTTCTAGGCCACCACTCTTTGATGGCACCAACTACACATATTGGAAAGAGCGGATGAGAATTTATATCCGCTCAACCAACTTCCAGTTGTGGTTGGTCATCAAAAACGGCGAAGAAACTCCTATGAAGAAGGTCGGTGAAAAACTCGTCCCAAAGACCAAGGACGAATTTGATGCCGAATACATCAAAAAGGTGGAGAACTACGCCAAGGCAATCAACATGCTGTACTGCGCGGTCAACCCTGATGATTATCGCAAGATCTCTTGCTGCACCACCGCCAAAGAAATGTGGGACAAGCTAGAGGTCACATATGAAGGTACGGACCAAGTTCGGGAAGCCAAAATTGACTTCCTAACGTAGGAGTACGAAATGTTTAGGATGAAGGAAAGCGAAAAGATCGATGACATGTTCGATCGGTTCTCAAAGATCATCAACGAGTCTACTGACCAGAATCTCGTGAGGAAAATCCTGCGGAGTCTCACACCCGAATGGAGATCAAAGGCTGACGCAATCTACTAATCCATCGGAGTCTCTAACGTCACCATCGACGGGTTAAGAGGTAACCTCAAAACTTATGAATCCACTATTCTATCCCCGTCTTTGGATGAACAAAAGAATAAAGGAATAGCGCTCAAAGCAACCAAAAAGACGGCGGAAGAAGTCTCAAGCGATGATGACAACGAGTTTGGACTCGTCATCAAGAAATTCCACAAATTCATGAAGAAGGAATTTGAACAAAAAGGAAGAAAGCACGACAATCCCCCGAAGTGCTATGGCTGTGGCGAGATAGGCCACATCAAGCCGAGGTGTCCAAAAGGCAAAAGCGGCAAGCACAAACCTGGCTTCAAAAAGCAACGTGCCTATATCTCATGGGGTGGAGACTCCGGCAACGAGTCAACTGACCAAGAAGAGGAAGAAGCCGCCAACCTTTGTCTCATGGCACACGAAGACCACGCCGAAGAAATACAAGATGTGTGCTTGAAGGCGTCAAGTGTACTTTGGTACCTTGATAGCGAATGCTCCAAGCACATGACCGGAGATGCATCCAAGTTCCTACAAATCAAACCCGCTAAAGGAGGAAACGTAGTCTTCGGAGATAATAGAAAGGGAAAAATTATCAGCGTCGGTTCAGTAGATAATCCTCGCTTGGCGAGAAAGGATATTTGTAATGATCTTGAAGATTCATTAGATAGAATACACGTCGAAGACGATGAAGAAAACGGGAATATACACCAACACGCAGCCACAAGTTGGGGAGATACCTCAAGAGACTAACCAAGGTGAAGAAGAAAATCAAGAGGAAGAAGAAGAACAAGAGGAACACGAAGAAGCATTAACCGAGCTTCCCATTGCATGGAGAACGAACAAGAACCATCCGCTTGACCAGGTAATCAGTAGCATCAACCGTGGGGTAAGTACTAGTAACTCACTTAGGGACACCGTAGGACACATGGCTTTTGTTTCTCAAATTGAACCTACAACCATTCTCGAAGCAATAAACGATGAACATTGGACCTTGCCATGCAAGAGGAGCTAAACCAATTCAAACGGAATGACGTTTGGGAATTGGTGCTTGGTACGAACGCTTGAGTAGATTTCTTTTGGACAGTGGGTTCCATAGGGGAAAGGTTGACACTACACTTTTTATCAAGAGTAAAAACAATAACATCCTTTTGGTTCAAGTCTATGTAGACGATATCATATTCGGTGCTACTAACGAGTCTTTGTGTAAGGAATTCTCAAAGTTAATGACAAGCGAGTTCGAAATGTCAATGATGGGCGAGCTCACGTTCTTTTTGGGACTCCAAGTCAAGCAAATGAAAGATGGAACTTTCATTTGCCAAACTAAATATTGCAAGGAGCTCCTAAAACGGTTTGAAATGGACAACGCCAAAGCCATGGCGACCCCGATGAGCACGTCCGACCATCTAGATAAAGACGAGAAAGGTAAGGAAGTAGAAGTCAAAAAGTATCGAGGTATGATCGGATCCCTTCTCTATCTTACCGCTAGTAGCCCGGATATCATTTTTAACGTATGCCTTTGCGCAAGGTATCAATCATTTCCGAAGGAATCACACTTAACAGTAGTGAAACGGATCATGAAATACCTTGTTGGCACGGTTAACGTTGGACTGTGGTATCCAAAAGGCTCTTCGTGTCATCTCGTTGGTTATTCCGACTCGGACTTTGCCGGTTGCAAATTGGACCGTAAAAGTACGAGTGGGACTTGCCACTTACTTGGTAGCTCTTTAGTTTCATGGTTTAGTAAGAAACAAGTCAGTGTTGCGTTATCCAGAACTGAAGCGGAATACGTCGCCGCCGGTAGTTGTTGTGCTCCAATCCTTTGGATGAAGCAACAACTCGTGGACTATGGCCTTAGTATCCGTCACATTCCACTTCGTTGTGATAATACTAGCGCCATAAGCTTGACGAAGAACCCCGTTCTTCATTCAAGGACGAAACACATTGACATTAGGCACCATTTCATTAGAGATCATGTTCTCAAAGGTGATGTCGAAATTGAGTTTGTTGAAACAAACAACCAACTAGCCGACATTTTCACAAAACCTTTAGAAAAAGAGTCGTTCTTCTGCATTCGTAGTGAACTCGGAATCCTTGACTCCACGATGATCTAATTTGTGCACTCTTTTGTCTATGCTTGAACGTTTACTAACTTGAGCGTCGGAGGGTTTTCTAACTCTTTTTTTGCAGGGACAGTTCGAGGTGAAGGAATCCGAAAGTCAGGGGGAACCAGCGATGGGTGGGTTACACCATCGCTGGGAGGGAAGTTCTCCTTTTCCAGAACCCCTCTTCCCATCGATGGATACTTTCTCCCATTGATGGGTAATTGACTATTTTTTTAAAAAAAAAAAATTAACGGATTTCCAGAAACCCTTTACACATCGATGGGTATTTTATCCCATCGCTGGGTGAATGACTTGCGTTTTAAAATTTTTTTCCAGAACCTCCCCACCCATCGTTGGGAACCTCCTCCCATCGCTGGGTGTTTGACACTATTTTTTAAAATTTTTTTAACGGATTTCCAAAAGCCACCAACCCAGCGATGGGATGGTATTAACATCGCTGGGAAGGCTTCTGTCATTTAATCTTCTCTTTCCAGAATCCACCTTCCCATCGATGGGAGGATCCAAACATTGCTGGGAAGGCAGCTTTGAATTTTTCCTTTGCTTTCCAGTTGCGACTTTCCCATCGATGGGAAGTTCTACCCATCGCTGTGAAGTGTGGTGCATTTCAAAAATTCAGAGCCGTTGGGCACCACATTAAATGCCCAATAGCTATATTTTTTGAATACAATCGGCCAAATCCTCCCTTCCCTATATATATCCATCTTTTTTGATGATTTTAATACACCATTAACATCAAAATCTCATTCTTTTATCCTAATCTACATATTTCATCTCTCTTTCTTTAAAAACGCCTCAACAATGGCCGGTGGAAAATCAACAAGCAAGGCATCCAAGAAGAAGGTCACCGTCGAAGCCTCAAGCTCTGCGCCTCAGCCGTTCCCCTATCTAGACGGCTCGTTTCTTGAGTTCGGGTCGGAGGAAGAACTCACGCGCTTCCTTAATCACTTTGCCAAATGCCCGATCTCTCCGCCTCGCGTGCTACCAGAGCTGTACCCCCAAGACAAAGGGTACGAAGACCTCGACAATTAACTCAAAGAGTCGGGTTTGTGGCCCTTCGTCCCCACAAGCCCCACCTCCTACAATCCCGCCTATGTCCGGGCCTTCTATTCAAATCTGCGCCGTGACGGGGACACCATCTATAGCAGCATGAATCTCTACGACATAGAGATTGACTTGCCGACATTTGCACGGATCGTAGGGTTGCCCATCCGCGGTGACGACATCGCGATGTACGGTGGCGACGATTGAATCCTCAACAACGAGGCGGTCGTCATTCGCGAGCTTGGGATCACCAACTTGATCCGCCACAGCGGCGCGCCGACGATCCACTCGGCCCCACCAAACAAGCGCCTCCTTCTCTACCTCATCACCCGAATTCTTCGCCCCCGGGATAGCAGCCACACCTCGCTCTTCAACGAGGACTTGAAGGCAATTCACGCCATCATGCACGGCGCCTCCATCAACTGGGCGAAATTCGTCATGATTCACATGGCGGATTGCGCCTCCATTGCCACCAAGCAGAGCTTGCCATACGCCTTCCTCGTCATGGACCTCATCGTCTCCGCTGACATCCACATTGTCGGGCCAAGCACGAAGATGACGAAGCTGTGGGTCATCGCTGACACCACCTTCAAGAAGAAGTCCAGAGACTAATTCGGCGTCGGACGAAGTCGTGCCCCTGCCCCCGCTCCCGCCCGGGCCTCGTTGCAGTCCATAGCCGACACCCTGAATCGGCTAACCCTCACGGTGGACGACATGGGGCAGTACATGGAGCGGATGGATTGGACGCTGCAATGCCAACACCACGACATGACAACGTTCTTCCGCGGCATCAACTACGTCCCGCCGCCCTTTGATAGCACCATCCTCGGCCAAAACTTTGAGGGCGAGGATGAGGACGATGACTCCTTTGCTCCGTCCTCCTCTCCCGACGAGGCTGACTTTGAGGACACATTCGACGGCGATCCCATGGACGTCGAGAACGATGAGGATGACGACGAGGACGAGGACGAGGACGCCGATGCCTAGACTCTTCCCTTCTTTCCTTCTTTTTTAAAATATGACTGTACTTTTTTGTTAATTTCCATTCCGTTGTATTCCGCATTTCCCTTCTCTTTAATGAATAAAAGTTTACTTTTAATTCTTTTTGTTAATGTCAAAAGGGGGAAGATATAAAGGTTATGCATAAATTGAGGGGGAATTTTTTATTTCATCACAAATACTTTATTGAAAATAAAATTGCATTTATTAAGGGGGAACATCTCTTTTGGTCTTAAACTAATCCTCCTATGCATAACCTCGTCTTATTTGCCATTATCAAAAAAGGGGAAATTGTTGAAACACGGGCTTGTCACATTTTCGTACTAAAGCCGTGTTCGTTTTTGTGACAGGTTTTGATAATGTCAAACCGCCGTGATCAAGACACAAAGTGAATATACAAGGCGAAGAACGAAGATGACAACAAGAGCTAAACGAAGACCAAGAACGAAGACCATAGTCTTAGTATCGTTGAGTCGGTCTTTGTTGTGATCAAGACCGACCCAATCTTTACACCTTGGCTCTTTAGGCTAAAATCTTTTCATTGCATCTCTTACGTCATAAAAATTTCTTTCAAACATGTTTAAAACATTAAAAACACTTGGTGTTCGCCCAAACCAAAAACCAAGCCATCCGGCGTTCGGTTTTTAGAAACAGACATTTGGCATTCTGTTTTTCGGCATTTGTTTTTGGCTTCCGAACCAACCAAGTGGTTTTCAACATTTTATGATTGGTTTTTACTACTTGGCATGTTTAAACAGTTCTCCAACAAAAACACCTTGAAAACCACCTTTCGTTTTTGGTCATTTGGCAAAAACCACGTAAAACGGCATAAACTTGGCTAGCTGTGGTTTTTACCCAAATGACGAGGTTTTTAAAGTGTCTCACTTGATTTCTTATCCAAATACATCAAATAAGTGTTTTAAAAACTTGGTTTTTATTTTGGAGAACTTTGGATTTTTCGGTCGGTTTTTGCATCGGTTGGCTAGGCCGTGGTTCAGGCAAAAACCATTGATTTTTGACTAACCACCTACCCAGCGATGGGAGGAACTACCCATCGATGGGTAAGTGGTCCTCTAGCCCAACGAAGTTCTAGAACCATGCCAAACAGCGATGGGAAGTTCTACCCATCGCTGTTAAAGCCTTGGTCCAACATCAACACAAGGGAGAACGACCTTACCCAGCGATGGGGACTTTACCCCATCGATGGGAACCCAGCGATGGGAAGGCTAAAACATCGATGGGAAGGCATGACCGTTGGAAGTCATTTAAGGTTGATTCTTTCCTTGTTTGGAAGTCAACCTCCCACCCAGCGATGGGAAACTTGTATCCGTCGATGGGTACGTGACCGTTGGCTTCAAAACTGAAGGAAAATTGGCCTACCAGCGATGGGTAGAAACCATACATCGCTGGGAAGCCAATATCCTGCAGATGCACAATTTATTCAAGCCCATAAATCAAGCCAATCACCCCTTTAATGTATTGGTCTGTTGGAGCCTATTTTGGCACTATAAAAAGGGGTGTTTGGGTCTGCTTTTCTTATCAATTCACTTCACAATTCTCCTACTTTCATTGCATTCAAACAACATCTATTTCCATAGCTTTTTAGAGCCAATACGTGTGAAGTTTCAGTTGTTCTTGAGCGTACTTAGTTTACTCATTATCTACTCTATAAGAGAGTCTCGTTCTTGAGTGTATTTGTGTTCCTAGACACGTTGAGAGAAAGTAATTCTCTCGGTTGATTCAAAGGAAGGGTTGTTTCCTTTGAAGGATTCGTTGAGGTTTGTGAGACTCGAACTCTCAAGTTGTAAGGGTTTGTTAAGCACTGTTAAGCTTAACGCGATAGTAGTGTGGCTCGAGAGAGTCTCTCGGGAGGCTGGATTAGCCACAAGTTGTGGTGAACCAGGGTAAATATTGTGTGCCTCTTACTCTTCTCTTTACATCTCTTTTAAATTTTTTAATTCCTGCGATTTCTACGATCAAACGCTATTCACCCCCCTTCTCGCGTTGGTCTATTATTCTAAGAAGACATAGCACTTCGGGGGACCGTCGTGCTTTCTTCCTTTCCGTTCAAATTCCTTCTTCATGAATTTGTGAAATTTCTTGATGACGAGTCCGAACTCGTTGTCGTCATCGCTTGAGACTTCTTCCATGGTCTCCTTGGTTGCTTTGAGCGTTATTCCTTTCTTCTTTTGTTCATCCAAAGACGGGGTTAGAATAGTAGATTCATAAGTTTTGAGGTTACCTCTTAGCCCGTCGATGGTGACGTTAGAGACTCTGATGGATTCGTAGATTGCGTCAGCCTTTGATCTCCATTCGGGTCTGAGACTCCGCAGAATTTTCCTCACGAGATCCTTGTTGGCGTAAGTCTTCTTGAGCGCATGAAGGTCTGATGATTGTAGTTTTTCGGGTAGTAGACCTTCCCAGTAAAGGGTTAGTTTTCTCTTCGAGTGTCATGTCTCTCGAGGAGTGGACAAAGGGAATTAGTTTAATACCTCTAACTAGGCGAAGGCTTGGATAGGTTCATGAAAGTCTTCTCGGAACGAATAAAAAGAGCTGAGTAAAAACAAATTTCACATAGAATAAGTATAGATCTGGACCTAGGGTGTAACGCCCTGGAAACTGGCTTAGTAGTTAGCCGTTAGTTTAATAAAAATAAATATATTATTTATTAACTTCAAAATATGAATTATTTGTAAGTTGACCATTTTAATTAAAAATTAGGTTTTCGGGTAGATCTTGTAAAATGGTGACCAACGATATATAGTTTATTAAATTTAGATATACGTATAAACCGTGATGAGTAAAATAGACGTTGTAGTGCAATCAATAAATAAAAGGATTTTTATAATATAATAATATTATATTATCAAACCCATTACTCTTAATCCTTGGCCGCACTCTTTAAATACGGAGTATATACTGCGTGTAACACCCCGGCCCCCACCCTAGCCGTAAGTGTTCGCTCATAGGATTGTAGACTGTCCCCACAAACAAACACAAGTCTTTCCCGCACACTTTGTCCTCACTCGTGCGCGCCCAAGGAAAACTTCCCAGGGGGTCACCTATCCTAGAATTGCTCCAGGTCAAGCACGCTTAACCTTGGAGTTTCTAGGTGATGAGCTCTCGAAAAAAAGATGCACCTTGTTGGTATGAGTAGTACTATCACTCTTTTTTGAGTTTTTCCCATTCGCATCTTGATACGGGGTATTACACTGCGCCTCGCATTCCCATCTCTATTAGGCATCGCGACTCTTCTTCTTCTCCATTGGCGACGAAACCAAGGGAGTTTGTCGATCAAGCAACCTGAGACGTCGCCGGAAAAGAGGACTTCGCCGGAGCTTCCGCCGGAGTCTAGATGGGGATTATTTGTGATTTCTTCATCAATTCCATTGAGGTGAGTGATTTATCTCTCGTTAAGATTGATTCATATATTAGGATTTGTTAATATGTTTTCATTCAATTGACGTTGAATTCGTGAATGTGATTATTGGATGGTTTGATTGGCTATGTTGAATTTGGAATTTGTTTAAAATTTGGGAATTTGGATTATTGATCGGAACTCTGCAAGTCTAGCCGTCTCTGTTCTTTCTCTTCTTCCGCCCTGTCCTGTTTTTCTATTGCGTGTTCTTCCTGCTTTATTGCGCGTTCTTTTCTGCCCTATTTTGTTTGGCCGCCGATGGGGAGTTCGTCCTGGTCGCCGCCGGTTTTCACCGTTGGAGTACGTTGCTACTGATTTCCGGTACAGGAGGGTTTTCAGAACAAGAGTTTTAGTTTTTCTAAATAGTTTACAATTTGGTCCTACTGCGTACTTTGACTGTAATAGAGTCCATTATTTATAAAATAATGAATTGGTAATAAATTGTATATTGAATAGAATTGTGAAATATGTCACCTAGTGTATCTAGTCAAATCTTAGTTGAGTTGTGAATTAGAAATAAGTAATCAGATCGGCATTAGAAGCAAGGTCACGCGGGTGACGTCGTTCATCTGGTGGTCTCGAGGGTTAAAAACATGTGCACGGTGGTCATTGACCCCTGGCGAGAGCCAGCGGGGGCCTCAACCCCCTCCATTGCGAGAGCTTTGGAGTTATGAGTGTGGGTTTGGGCGAGAGCCTGGATTCCATTAGTCCCGTAAGTATGAATTGGATTATATCTAGCAGGCAGATGGAGTAAGAATGCATAAAAATTAAACTGAATCATAAGGGTATATAGTGGTACAGTTGGATAATGATATTTGTTGATTCTTCTGATATTGTTTGATTATATATTGATGGGTGCTAGTCTATGAGTTAGTTTTAGCGTTAGATACTTCCACTCTCCCTATTTTTACAGGTAGGGATCAAGGATTTGATGAGGAGCAGCCTGGAGGACAGTGAAGCGTGACGCCGGTGGATGACCGAAGCTGTTTTATTTTAATTAAATAAGTTTGTTGGATTTATTTATTTAAATTACCAGAATGTTGAATGTTGTTTTTTAAAGGCTTCCGCAACGTTTCAGTTATTTACTCCGATTAAACGATAGATTGTTTTCAATAAATATGAATGTTTGTTTTATTTCCAAATGTTTTTAAAATATTGTACATGTGAATACCAAATTAGTGACAACCCGATTCGCTAACTCGTCGGTTCGGGTTACACGGGTTGGGGTGTTACAGGGTCTGGACATCATTTGGATTTATTTTATCATATTTAATTAATAGTTGGAATAATAATATTTCTATTATTACTCATCCATTTCTAGATTTGTACTTAATCTGCTGCACTTGAATATCATAGCCACTCGGCTTACAATATTTTCTCAGTAAATGGCCAATTAAATCTTGCGAGTTTATTTAACCAAATAAGGCAAGAACAATGGACTAATCATTCCAACATTAATTTAACATCAAAAATAAACAACCAAACTAGTCTGGACCCAGAGATCCAGACCCTAACTCATACTATGCAAACATAAATTAAAACAACATTTTATTAAATAAAGGAAACTTACAACTTCCGTACAAGTGGAATTGAACAGAACGGGAGCAGAATTTTTCCAAAAAAAATTATTCTAAACTACTACTATGCTAAACTAGAACTTGGAACTAAAATACAGAGCTCAATTCCCGAGAATGAGATTGATGGTTGTTGATGGAATGAGGTGAATTGCGCTGTATTTATAGGATAGAGACCGAGGCGTCCAAGTCCAGGCGTCCAGATCGGGATGCTTGAGCTGTTCCAGCCAACCAGGTTTTGCCACGTGTCTTCCTTGGACTGCAATCCAGCCAAAGCATCCAACTCCCAAGCGTCCAACTTGGCCAAGCATCCAAGTTGGACGCCTTAGGTCCTGGTTCGTTTGGGCTTCGCGGCTGATTCGTGATTTCGGCCCAATTTCGCTTCGTTTTGGCCCCGAACACTGTTTTTTGACCTCCCGGAAGCTCGTTCAAGTCTAAATCTTGATCCTTTGATGATTGATTCCCTTTTTCTCAAGTGTTTCAACATAAAATGGATGGTTTATGATGAATTCATGTGGAATCTCTTTTTATGACTCTTAGAACGAAAATGAGAGTTTTATTCATTGAAAACACTTTTTTGAGATGATTAAATACTATTTAAATGTTGCTTGCCCTCAAGCAACAAATTGAATAATTAAAAGTATAAAGGCAAATTAATAGTTGGAGAGGAAAGGTTTAAGCTACATATTATGAAGGAAAGAAGAAGTAAGATAGTGATCAACCTTTTTGTTAAGAAGGAATGAACCTTTAGATTCTCACCCATATTGTTAGAAATGTAAAAGAATTTTGTCAAACCAATATTTTTACACCAACCTAAACAACCAAAATTTTCCAAGCTTTCTTTGGGATAACTACATTTGTAAGAGTACCTTAAAGATCAAATAATCTTTTAATGGCTAAATTGGAAAACATGTTCTTGCAAAAGTATTTGTCAAAGTGGAAGGGTTTAATTTTCTTTGGCATAACTTTGTCATGTTGACACGAGAAAAAATTATAACCTCATCCCGTGACATAGAACCACGAGCTTTTTGGATATTCACTCTGGAAAGTCTCATCACACGACATAGAACCGCATGCTTTTTGACTCTAACACTCAAAAGGCCTCATCACGCAATATAGAACCACGTGCTTTTTGGCATACTCACCAAGCCTCAACAATTGACATGGAACCAATTGCTTTTTGGCTAAAACAAGAATCTCGGTCTCACCAAAGCATACTTTGAAACGTCACCCCTTATACTTTGAAAATAACTCTTTTCAAGAAACAACAGATACTCCTAAAAGCATCAGAAAAAAGATTTTCAATAAACCACTTAAAAATTGATTGATCTTAAAAACTCTAGTAAATTGTGGATTTATCCCAAATCATTTTAGAAAACATTCCCAAAAGGTTAGAGTAAAAATTGAAATTTGACAAAAAAAAATTTTAATTTCCAATTTTACGGGTGATAACTAAAGTTTTAAACAAACAATTAAAACTAATGACTATTCTATAAAAATCCTTTCCTACAAATATATAGACAAAAAAATTCCTAAAAAGATCATTTCAACCAGGAACTCTTGCCTCCTCACACTTAAACGGAACCACGCCCTTGTGGTTAAGAGTGTTTTGGAATTGGAGTTAATGGTTGAAATGCCCACATGCAATTACTAAGCTATCTCAATACTTACAAGATTCAACAATGAAGATTGAAATAATAGATAACCATAACATGTAAATATGAAATAATGCATAAAATATTCTCAAAATGGTTTTAAGAGTCATGTTGTGAAATTCCAAAATAAAAATCAATCAAGCATCCAAATCATGTTCAAAATAGTAGAGAAAAAAGAGACTTTACTGAGGAAGTCAATATCCTCTCAGTAGCTGACTTCTACCAGGATTGCTGGATCAATGAGCATCGAAGATGGTAGAAACTCTTTGTTTTCACCACGTGCTGGACCTCTTCTTTGCTTCCTCTGTAAGGTATTCCCTACGGGTCTCTCATCTGCAAAATCAAAGAAAACAAACAAAATAACTCTTGCCCCCAAAACTGGTGCGGCAAGTAGAAACTCACAAATAATAAATAAAATCTATTTAATTATTTTAGTTATTTGAGTGACGGGTTGCCTCCCGTTAAGCGCTTCTTTAACGTCCGTAGCTTGACGCCTTAGCCACTTTTTCCGTGACTTTCCGATCCGAGAGTCAGAAAGTTTAGCCCTTTTGACTCTCTTCTGATACCACCTTGTTTGAATTTTTGCTCGGTCAAGGTCCAGGATCCTTGACTCATCCCTGCGGCTTGGTGGCAACAGGATATATGGAGGAGACTTTAGATAGGTGGGTGGTGGCGAAAGCCTCCTCAGCAGATCCACGTCATTAGCCTTGATTGCAAAATTGATTTCTTCCTTATCTGTAATTGGCTGACTATCCATTTGTGGTTTGATGATTACGACCATGCTTTCTGGTGGTCCCGAAGTGGTGAGTTACAAAGTCTAGAGGGGGGGTGAATAGACTTTGTTACAAATTTAAAAACTTTTTCGTTTCTTTTGAGAACGTGAAAATGAGTGTTAATCTAGAGTTCTTGTGAACTTTAGATTATGTACGGAAGTTGGTGGGTAGAGTAACAGTAATCAATATGGATGGGTTAGTTTTCTCAGTTAATATAATTGCAATTAAGAATAAAGATAAAAGAGAGAGACACGCGAACTTTAACGAGGTTCGAAGGTGGGGTAATCCTTCTACGTCTTCAAAATCCACTATGTAGTTGGTTGTTGAATAATGAACCAACAATTACACTTGTGTGAATTTCTGCAGGGTATATCTTCGCAAGGCCAATGTTGCTACTGCACTCGTGCTGGCTTTGTTGTTCCTTCAAAGGTCACGCTTCTTCAACAACTGCAAGGTCCGAACAATAGGACTTGCATGACCAACTTGTAAGAAAGTTGACCTACCCCCTTTCAATCAATAAGTTTGATCAAAAGTTGTATCCTTCAACGTGGTGTGGTACTTGAGGCAAAGAAACCTTCAAGTATTTACACTATAGCTTTTTGGAAGGAGGAGAAGTTTGCTTCTGGATAAGGAGTTTAGAAATCTCTCTTTATCAAGCTTTTTGGGCTAACTGTGAATGAGGTAGCCTCTTTGTGGTTGTTCTTCTTATTGTTGATGAGTTATTGTCTATATTTCCCCAGTCTTCCAAGGATACTATTTATAGCTGGATTGGATAATCTATCTGTTGAATCAAAATAGACTATCCGTTGCATTTGCTAGCTTCAATTTTGAATGAAGATTGGGATTTGAAGATTCCTCATTGGAATGGGTGTTTGGACATACCCAATTGTTAAAAGAGAGATTCCTTTTCCATAGAGTCCGTCGTCTAGCTGTTGTTCAAGTATTCTGGACTATAGAACTTTACTCTGTTTGTCTTCTAGTGCTTGTTTAGGAATTCTCGACAGGTTCTTCAATTCTTAGAGGTCCAGACTTTGTCTTCGAGTCATTTGTTCTTGAATCAGCATAATTATCTTCAATCTAGCCATTGAAAATCAAGAGATTGATTTTTCCTTACCAACGGGTAGAATTTCTTCATTCAATACTTAGATAATTTTCTATATCTTTTCTCACTTTTCCGCTTTTTGAGAATTTCGGTCTTCCCTGAGGCATCCGGTTCTTAGCTGACAAATTTTAGACAACCCGCTGACTTAGCCTTCAGCGGGTTGTAATGAGACATCCGGTTCTCATGTAATATTCAGATAGGAGGATTTTTGTTTGCCTTGAGAAATCCTTACTTGTCTCTGATATTTCCGATAAAGATATCCAATTTCCAAAATTTTTAAATTTGATTAAGTCTTCAGGCATCAAACCATTTAAGGAAATATCACAACTTAATTGGAAATCTCAAGAACTTGGTTTTAACAATATTTCTAAAAATTACATTGAATATATGGGGAGACCTAAAGTCCCTATTACATTCTAAATACATCATCATCAAAATCTATGATATTTTTTCCCAACAATTTCCCCCTTTTTGATGATGACAAATAAGTGTTTAAGAGTTCCGGTCGCTGTACTTAGAACTAATTTTGTAACTCTCTTTTAGTTTCTCATAATATACAGCTTGTTAACAAAAAATCTTAAAGAAATACAATTGAAATTACAATAATTCCTAAACCAAGTCTTGTCTTGAGATTTTGTGATCTCTTCCGCCATTGACCGTTTTCAGCTTCAGCAGATTCTGCTTGGCGGAGCGGTTGGCGTTGCGTTTGATAGATCTTTAACATCCAAAGTGGATATTTAAGATCTTGGAAGCAACACATCTCTCAAAATAAGAAGAAAGATAGAGAGAGTGTTGTTCCAGAGAAGGTGTATGGTGTAATCTTGAAAAATACGAGATTTTCACCATAGACCTTCTCTACTGCCAAGATTCTCACCATAGACTTTGAAAGTCTTTTCTTCTCAATAGGCTTCTTCCATTGCCGTCAATGAGGGTGAGAAAGAAAATTTTTTCCATTAAGGATATTTTTCTTGGTGTGTTTCTTAGACAGTGAGTTTGAAGACTTTTCATATTGAAAGAGCTGTTTGTGATAGGAATGGATTGAGATATCTTGATTTAAATAGGAGAGGAGGTAGAGAGAGGGGAGGTTCACGGGTTCCATTAATTGGGTAGATGGAACGGTGAGAGTGAAAGAGTTTCAACTTCCAAGAAGTTGAAAAGTGGAAGGAATCTTTTACCAATTACCAATGAATTGAAACTGTTCCAATTTGAAAATCAGTTTCGTTTGGTTTGAGAACCATAACTGTTTCAATTTGGCTAAGCCCAAAAGAGTGACCCAAAAAGAAAAGAAAACTATGTACTAAAGGGAAATTATTCCTATTGGGTTCTCAAGGCCCAAAATAAGGCTATCATTTTTCATTCCCTATAGTTCTAATTTCTACTTAGGACGAGGTAGTACCAAAACAAATATGAATTTTATTTTTAAAAGAAAAGTGGTACTATTTTTCCAAATTCCTGTATATTCTAAACATCCTAAGGACCAGTACTTTTAGAGCTTGTTGGAAATGAATTAAGGACTGAAGCTTAGTTTAAGAAGACAGATTTTGTAAAGTACATGAATCGGAGATTTCCAATTTTAGTCCCAAAACTGAGATATCCGTCTTCCATTGCTTAGAGCTTATCAATAATTCATTGCCAAAAGCAATTGTTAGCCAAAAACTAGTTAAGTTCCCCCTGAATGTATGCGCTAAGAATAAATCTCAAAAACATACTTGAATTAGGTATAATCAAGCATAGTGAGCACAATTAAGAGAAATATTAAGGCAAAGTTTAAACCAGTAGAGCAATGTTTAAATAAGAAGGTGTTTTCATCAAAGCAAAATAATGTTTTCACATACTTTCCCCCTGATTTGATGAAAAAAGCCTTCAGTGCTTCTTGCGCTTTGAAGATTTGGCAATCTCCCTGATGCCTTGCATGTTTCCACATAGTTCTTTGATGCGCCTCATGTTGTTCCGTCTCTCCTCTGTTTGATTTTCATTTGAGAAGTGAGCAGCAATTGTTCCTACAGCCTCTGTTCCATCCAATCCGGAGCTGGATAAGCGCTGTGTTGAGTTTTCTGGATTGCTTCTCTGAGCTTCAAGGACTAGATCAGTCAAGTTTAGATGTGTAGGAATGTAAGAGACTTCTCCTTCTTTGACTGCAATGGGGAGCTCTGGAATCAAGGATGGACTGTGTTGTTGAAGAACCACTTCCATCTTGCGATTTCCAGAATTTGTGGTAAGAAGTCTGAATAGTTTGTGTGCTTCCTTCTGATTGTCAATGATTACCTTCAAGTAGTCTTTGGTTACTACTTGATTTGCTGAAGACACTGCCAGAGCTGCTCTGATGTCCATTTGGAGAATGGACATTTGTTTTTGTAGACTGATTGTGACATTTGCTA